GACCCCGTTTGCAAATTGCAGTTAAAGACCTAAACCCCACACTTTCACCATATATGTCATTCAAGGAAGGATGACTAATTAAGGGCTGGTTTGGGTTTTTTAATTCCTTATTAAAAAGACCATACATGCCTGGCCAGTATGGCTCAGTGGTTGAGCGCCGACCTATGAACCAGGAGGTCACGGTTCGATTCCCAGTCAGGGCACATGCCCGGGTTGCGGGCTAGATCCCCAGTAGGGGGCGTGCAGGAGGCAGCTGATCACTGATTCTCTCTCATCATGGATGTTTCTCTCTCTCCCTCCCTCTCCCTTCCTCTCTGAAATCAATAAAAAATATATCTTTAAAAAAATCAGGCCTGAGCACCGCCACTGTGGGCAAGAGTGTATCTAGTGTTTTTAATGCGAGTCATCAGGACATGTCGTGAATAGAAATAATGCACTGTTTCCTCTCTAAAAGCTGAAAATGTACCACTTCTGCTTGACGTTGTAAGTCCAGCCCCAGCGTGCCACTGCCGCCTCCTAGGTCCATGGTTGGCAAACTGCAGCTCGAGAGCCATATGCGGCTCTTTGGCCCCTTGAGTGTGGCTCTTCCACAAAATACAGTGCGATTGAAACTTCATGGCCTATGCGCAGAAGTTGGTATTTTGTGGAAGAGCCGGTATTTTGTGGAAGAGCCACACTCAAGGGGCCAAAGAGCCGCATATGGCTCACGAGCTGCAGTTTGCCAACCATGGACCTAGGAGGCGGCAGTGGCACGCTGGGGCTGGACTTACAACGTCAAGCAGAAGTGGTACATTTTCAGCTTTTAGAGAGGAAACAGTGCATTATTTCTATTCACGACATGTCCTGATGACTCGCATTAAAAACACTAGATACACTCTTGCCCACAGTGGCGGTGCTCAGGCCTGATTTTTTTAAAGATATATTTTTTATTGATTTCAGAGAGGAAGGGAGAGGGAGGGAGAGAGAGAAACATCCATGATGAGAGAGAATCAGTGATCAGCTGCCTCCTGCACGCCCCCTGGCCTCAGCCTAGGAGAGCAGAGGGCCTCCTGTCCTCCTGGGGCCTCTCTATGGACAAGCCCGGTGTCCACCCACAATGCCACTCAGGCTGCCAGCTGCCCTCGAGAGATCCGGGGCCCCCGGCACCTGGGACAGAGCCTCAGTACGGGGCGCCTGCTTGCTTCTGAATGAGAGGAACAGCCGGCGGCATTCGGGGTCTCTGACTCATGCTGGGACTGCCCACATGCCAAGCCTTCTCTCTGTGGTCCACGGCCCCCAGCGCCCTGAGCACAAGCCAACACATTCCATGGCAAAGTCCGTTTTGAAAACGGAGGAGGGGGCTCAGGTCGCTGCAAGCAGCCTCGAGAGATCCGTGGCCCCCGGCACCTGGGACAGAGCCTCAGTGCGGGGCGCCTGCTTGCTTCCGAATGAGAGGAACAGCCGGCGGCATTCAGGGTCTCTGACTCATGCTCTTTGTGGCCCACGGCCCCCAGCGCCCTGAGCACAAGGCTAACACATTCATTCCATGGCAAAGTCCGTTTTGAAAACGGAGGAGGGTACAACAAACTAAGGAAAGAGTGAGGCAGGCAGGTTGCTTGCACAAGTTTGCGACAGGCCTCACAGTATCTCATTTAATTCTCCTAACCATAGTGCAAAGCAAGTTTCCTCACTGTCCCAGTTTTAGAGCTGCGAATACCAAGATCAGAGAGGTTAAGACACTTGCTCAAGGTCACACAGCTAGTAAGTGGTAGACAAGGCATTCACAACAGGCTGTGGGGCTCCCTGCCTCGCAGAACTGGCCTTATACCCGGGCCTCCAGAGTCCCAATCCAGGAACCCTTCTGCTTCTCAAGGTGGAATTACACAGTATTCGCTCCAGAAGGCTTTTCTTTTAACTCTGTAACACATGTTCACTAACATTTTACTTTCTAATAA